CAGTATGAACCCATAAATGTGTAGCCTGTTTACTGTAATGTCGGCTTTTACAAAGTTTATGCTTCCAGGGTTAGAGAGTGCTCAGTGGTTAAGAGCACATGCTTATGAGGGGGAAAGGTTTATTCCACCTTCTGTTCCTCCAGAGGACCCAAGGTTGCTTCCCAGCACCTACAACTGCTGGGCCTGGGGACCCAATATCTCTTCTGGCTTCCTCAGACACTGCACACACATAACATACATTTACAGACAGACAGACAGACAGACAGACAGACAGATAGACAGACACACACACACACACACACACAAATAAATTTAAATCTTCTTTCAATTAAAATGAGTTTGTGTATCTGAATTAGTAAATTTTCTACAAGACACGCATGGCCAAGTTACTGTGACAGATAATCTTGGTTGTCAACTTGACACACCCACAAAGAAGGACATTTACCTGAAGAACTGCCACCCTCAGATTGGCTGTGGGCATGTCTGTGGGGCATTTTCTTGATTACTAATTGATGTAAGAGGGCCCAGGCCATTGTGGGCAGCATCATTCCTAGGCCACGTAAGCCTGGTCTCTATAGGAAGGGTGACTGAACATGAATGAGCCTGGGAGCAAATCAGTAAGCAGCAGAACTGCTTTAAGAACAGAACTGTTCCCCTGTGTTCCCTGTGTCTCAATAACAGTTTCTCTTGCTATGATAAAATGCTATAACCATAAACAACTTGGGGAGGAAAAGGTTTGTTCCATCTTATATTTCCAGGTCACAGTCCACCACTGAGGGAAGTCAGAGCAGAAACCTGGAGGCAGGAGCTGATGCAGAGGCCATGGAAGAGTGCTGCTTACTGGCTTACTCCCCATGGCTTGCTCAGCCTGCTGTTTTTATAGCTCTGAGAAACATCTGCCTAGGGGTGGTACCACCCACAGTGGGCTAGGCCCTCCCACATCAATCATCGATCAAGAAGATGCATCATATAGACTTGCCCACAGGCCAATCTGGTGGGAGTATTTTCTCAATTGAAGTTCCCTCTTCCAAAATGATTATATCTTGTACCAAGCTGACATAAATTAGCCAGCACAGTATGCTTACCTGAGAAACAGCTCTTCCAATTGGCTGTGTGGCTTTAGACTAGAGGAGTCCAAGAAGCAAGGCAAAGGGTGACGCCTAGGCAAGAATACAGTTTCACCTGGATGCACTGGCGAAATGACCTGCAGGGACACGGAGAACTTCTCCACCAGCATCCTGGCAAGGCAAGGGGTAGGGCAGAGTTAGGGGTGTGTCTGGCTCTGTAGCAGCCTCTACAGTGCTAAGAAGGAACAGGGACAGCAACTTTGTAGCCAGGGCCAGGGTGAAGGAGATGAGCAGGTACCAGCTGACAGGACACTGTGAGTGTGGGTCTCCATACTAGCTGGGCCAGTGACCCTCGAGCTCCAGAACTTATGAGGACAACTGCCCATGAAGCCTGCTGAAATGCAGACCCTGACCTGTCAGCCAGCTAGGAGCTCTGGCCTGCACACACAGACAGGGGTGGAGTGCCAAGGCGAAGAAGAGACTCTGCAGTTCCGTCATGATCCACTGGCTCAAGATGGGAAGAAAGACACAAGGTCAGGCCTGAGACCCAGCTGAGTCTCTACACAACCGACTGACACCAACAGCCAGTGACAACACACCGATGGGAGGAGCGCCACGTTGGAGACTAGGATGAGCAAGTGTGCGTGTGCACGTCATCTCTTAATAGACTCCAGGATCCTAAATGGATGCCTGTAATTGCAGCTAGTATTGAGTCATCTACAACAGAATGCATTTTTCACAACCAAATTCTTGTCACACACCATGGCTGTAACTTATGCAGTTTGAAAAGCGACAGGAAAACACACCAATTTCTTTTCCTCCTCCACAGTTTTGCAGGCGGAAGATCTGTCCTTCTGTAGATTTTGGCAAATAGCAGCAGACAATTTCCCCCTCCTTAAATATTCACCTTTTTTCTTAAAGGAAGTGCTTCATAGCCTTTTACTGCATATCTGTGTTTCCTGCAACACTACTCAGTGCTTTGGGACTGCATTAAGTACAGCAGGAGTGACCTGAACACATGCATTGATCCTGTGGCTGCTCATCTGTCAACCCAGGTGAATAATGGGTGGGTATCACATTCAGTGTGGCCCCAAAGGGCAAAGGGATAATTAGTGTCCTGGGTGAGATGGAGAAGACCACAGGCTTTACTCACATTACTGACGCACTATTTGTTTGAGAATTTCCCATTTAATATCTTCAGATGGCAGTTGACTATGGTTGCCAAAAGAACCACAAGGGAAACCAGATAAGGAGTGACTTCTTTACAGCCATGCAGCACATAACGTACCTGGACACGAGCTACCCTCCCCTCTGGGCCCCGCCCCGGTCACTGATATCCCCAGCTACAACCCTTCTGAACAGACTTAGGTAGGGAGGAGAGGAAGACAGACATTTCCTGCTTGCTTTAAAAGCCATCTTCCATTTGGTGTTTAGCAATGTAAGAGCCGATCAACAACGAAGGAAACAAGTTACATATGTTATATTCCCTTCTCGACCTGGAAGGAGGCCCCTGGGTTTCCAACGCTGTCTGAGGGGGAGAGAGCGGCTGTCCTTGGCCATGGAGTCCCATACCCTGCCACCTGACAGTCAGCCTGGCAAACGTGACTCACTTTCTGGCCAGGTGACCTTAGGTGAGACTCTGAGGGCTGTCCTGGGGACAAATGGCACACTGAGTGGGAAGGCTCAGGCTCGGTGAGTTCACAAAGAGCCTGATAACCTTGTTTGCTCATGTCCTTGCTACTACAATGTTCTATCTATCATAGCTTCTTTTGTTACTTTTGTAGCTAGAAAAAAATGTGAAAATTATTAAGAAATCAATAATAAGCAGGCTCATCTGTGAAGTGAGTCCTAGCCCTTTCCCCCAAGCCATCACTCAAAGGGACTTTTGTAATGCTAACTGTAATGTATGTGTATCATTAGAGATTCCAAGACACTGTCACACGTCTAATTAGGGATTTCCTGTGTAGCCTAGAGCAGAGAATAAAGGGCCACGTTGTGGTTTAAATATCTGTCTCTCCCTTCCCCCGCCCTCCCCCATCTCAGCACATACATAAGGTCTTTTAAGTTTAAGAAAGAGATAATTTAGTATGTCATCCTGTCGCGATTGAGCCAATTCTTAGTGTATGAGCACACACTCTGCTTGGGATGATCAGGGTCCTTGGTCCTTTCTACCACAGACAGTTGTGGCAATCACATGACGTCTTGTCTGGCAGATGGTGCCTAGCCCCCACCCATATTGCCTTGCTGGCCCTCACCACTTCCTCTGGCCCCATTCAGAGATGGAACAGGTTGGTCCTTTTCTATACCAGTGAGTCATTTTTAATTTTAAAGTGTAAGATTGAACCACTGCACCACAATGATCCTACATCAAAACCACCACCTCAAAGTGGCTGTTGTCAGAGAGCCTTTCTCAGAGCTCCACTGGAGAATGCCATGTGCCCAGAAAATGAGCCATTATTCCAAAGCCACGAACACCTTCTGCTGTAGGCAGCTACACACACAGCTCTCTTTCTGTGTGGAATTTTCTGACCTTTAAGTCATGACTTCCACAATCCTGTGTGCACTCAGTAGAAAGGTCAAAGGCAGCAAAAGTATTCTTACTACCAAGTTTTAAAAAATACTTTAAAAAAATTTTTGGGCCAGCAAGATGGCTCAGTGGGTTAAGGAACTTGTGATGACTTGAGTTCAATCCCTGAGACCCACATGGTCGAAGGAGAGAACCAACTCCTACAAATGTCTTCTGACCTTGACTCATGAGCTGTGGCGCGCACACACACCACTCCAAATAAATACATGTACTACAAGGGCTGGAGAGACGGCTCAGTGGTTAAGAGCACTGACTGCTCTTCCGGAGGTCCTAAGTTCAGTTCCCAGCACCCACATGGTGGCTCACAGCCATCTGTGATGGGGTCCAATACCCTCTGCTGGTGTGTGTGAAGAGAGCAATGGTGAATATATAAAATAAACAAATAAATCTTTAAACAAATAAATGTAATACAAATTTTAAAAATTCAAATGTCTCTGTGTGTATTCTATATGATGCATGTGTTTGTGAGGCTGTGTGTTCATCTGGGGGTCAGAGGACAAGCTTGGATGTTAGTTCTTACTGGCTGCCTTGTTGGAGACAAAGTCTGTTTATCTGAGTTGTTTGTTTGTTTTGTTTTTGTTTGTTTCATTCTGTTTCTTTTTTTGAGACACAGCTTCACTGTGCAGCTTGGCTGGCCTGGAACTCAATACATAGACCAGGCTGGCCTGGAACTCAACACACAGACCAGGCTGGCCTGGGACTCAACACACAGACCAGGCTCGCCCTGTCCACTACTGCTGGCTTCAGGACCAGTTTTCCCCCAGCATGCTCAGTTGCCTTTTCTGTTTCCCGGCCTCAGCTATGGGCCTCAGCTCTTGGACACTGGCTCTTCATGTGCCACACTTGCTCCCTCACGCTGTCTCATCTTGCTTCAATGCTGTTCCTTTGTTTTTGAGCAAGGTCTTGCTTTGCAACCCTGGAAATACTATGTAAACCAGGCTGGCCTTGAACTTTTGGTGACTTCCCTGCCTCTCCCTCCCGAATTCTGAAATAACAGGTATGTGATGTCATGTCTGGCTTCTTATAGGCTGTTAAACATCATCTATCTGTGGTGATTCCTAGCCTTGCCTCAGCCATCTACCTGAACTTGAACCAACAGTTCCCCATGTAACTCTACTTCTAAGCCAGCCTCTGCTCACTGGATCTTTCTCCCTGTAATTACATTACAGTGTCCCCATCCTTCACGTGATGGCACGTGCCTTGTCTTAGTCAGTGTTCTATGGTTGTGAGCAGACACCATAACCACTGCAGCTCTTATAAAGAACAACATTTAACTGGGGCTGACTTACAGTTTCAGAGGACTAGCTCATTATCACCGTGGCCGGGAGCATGGCAGCAGGCAGGCCGGCAGGTGCGGTGCTAGAGAGGTAGCTGAGAGCTTCCCACCCTGACCCTCAGGCAGCAGTCAGAGACTGGGTCTGCCATAGGCTTTGGAAACCTCAAACCCACTCCCACACCTCCTCCAACAAGACCACATCTCTTAATTCTACTCAAACAGTCCACCAAACACATTTGACTATATCTGAGATATTTGACGGTACCTGAGCTTACGGGTCCGTCTCCTCCAAACAACCAACACGCCTGTAATCTCAAACAACCTGGGAGGCAGAGGTGGGCAGACAAAGTGTAAGGTCAGCCTAGGAGACCTATTTCAAAAGATAAAAACAAAGCCTGCCCCAGTCTTCCATCTGCTCAGGCCCAAGACCATGGTGTCCCTGCTTTGATTCTCCTTTTCCCCTACTCTCTAGCAAACTGTCACTTCTCCATGAAGCAGCCATCACTTGCCTGCCCTGCCCACCTGCCTGTAGCTCTGACCAGCATCATTTTTCCTAGATTACCTGGTGGAACTGCGTGTGGTACCATGATACAAGTGTTGTGTGTTTCCCATGGTTTCTGGCTTGTGACTCCCTCCTTCAGGGAAACCATGGAGACTAAAAAACTCCCCTTCCCAAAGGGGTCTCCCAAAGTCACAGAAACTCCCTGAATCTGCAGAATCTTCCTCTGATCTACCTGACTTGACAGTCATAAGACACCCCCATCGTAGAAGACTCATGACTGAAGGAAGGAACGCAGCAGACAGAAGCTAAGATCCCAAACAGGTGGGCACAGTGGGTGTTTCCTGTGCAGCCCATCATGCCTGTGTAGAAAAATCCAAAAGGGAAGATTTCAGAGAGCTTCCAGATAGATAAGGAGGTTCTGGGCAATGGTATGTCCAGAGAGAATGAGGAAGCTCTGTATCCCTTCTCAAAACTCATGTCTCTCTTCACAGGGTTCTCGTATCTTTTATGAGAAGCAATGCAAGCACTTTTGAGTCCTGTGAGCTATCCTAGAAAATTCACTGAACCAAAGGAGTGGCTGTGTATTTGAATCTCCCAATTTATACTGAGTGAGTCAGAAGGACAAGTAAAAGCCGGGCGGTGGTGGTGCACGCCTTTAATCCCAGCACTTGGGAGGCAGAGGCAGGTGGATTCCTGAGTTCGAGGCCAGCCTGGTCTACAGAGTGAGTTCCAGGACAGTCAGGGCTACACAGAGAAACCCTGTCTCAAAAAACCAAAAAAAGAAGGAGAAAGAGGAGGAGGAAGAAGAGGAAGAGGAGGAGGAGGAAGAGAAGGAGGAGGAGGAAGAGGAGGAGGAGGAAGAGGAGGAGGAAGAGAAAGGAGGAGGAGAAGGAGAAGGAGAAGGAGAAGGAGAAGGAGAAGGAGAAGGAG